TCCAGGGTGTGTCTGTGTGTGCCCTGTGATGGACTGGTGTCCTGTCCAGGGTGTGTCTGTGTGTGCCCTGTGATGGACTGGTGTCCTGTCCAGGGGGTACCCTCCCTTGTGCCCATTGCTTCTTGGGATATCCAGCTCCCCCGCAGCCCTGAACTGGATGAAACAGATGAGACTCATCCCCCGACCCCACCCTCACACACACACTTTCCTACTGACTCTCATTCAATTGTATTTACTGGTCTCTGCTTTCTGGGGTGGAACAAGCGTGCAACAGGTGACGCTGACCTGCCATGGTGTCGAGACGACACCCTGTCTTGTTCAACGAGCAGCTGAATGAGATTCCTGGACCCGTTAGCTGTTAAATACAGAGTGCAGAAGATAAGCCAAATGACCTCTCTTGTTCATGATCTTTGCGACACACAGACTACAGTACACCACACCGCCTCAGCGGCTTCAGCGTGCAAGGCCGAGAACACGATCAATCTTCTGCGACATTCACCCTTCCAGGGTATTTATTCTCACAGGCCAATGCGTTTCTTGTCAATTTTCATCACCACCTATTTCAGAAAAGGCCGCCTGTGGCCGTGGGAAAAGTGCGTGGGGCAGAGCAGTCGGTCAGAGACACTGTACTGCGGACTCCAGGGGTGTCAGAGTGTCTTCTTACTCTCTGATAGATACAGTACAGGAGGTTAAGATCATTTGGAACGGATAACTCAAAACATTCGCTTCATCAGAGGTGCATTTACCTGGTTTTACATGTATGCAGTTCATTCGAATAACTGCACTCAGTGCTCCAGTGGAACAAAGCCCGACGACACCGGACTAGCCTGAAGAGTCAGCACTGGACCCGCCCAGAACCACGTGTGAAATTCCGTTTAAACAAATTCACGACCGCGTCTCTGGTTCCACACGAAACGACAGGAATTGTTCACGACAGGAAGCCGACATCAAAAAAATTAACATCAGCATGAAAAAAAGAGTTAAAATCGTCTTTGAATAAAGCAAATCAAATTAACTGCATTAGTAAGGTTCCCTTTTGTATGCGTTAACGGAACAAAAGCAGCCTGTCATCTCTTGACGCCCACGTCCTATTGCGAATTACCGTTGCCCCCACCATGATGAGTCTTTACACTTTTGTATATTCGTTTCTGCAAAACGGACAACTATATGAGCTTACAGTTTACAAACTATTCTAATCCGGTTTAAACTAGCGTCAGCCTGAACCCGGGGACATTCTGTGAAACACCTTGACACTAACAGCTCCAAAAGCACCCCACCCCCCACAGACTCGCACGGGGCGCTGTTCTGCCAGAAAGCAAGTCACACCTCATCAGCCATCAGGCATCTGCCGGGGTCCGAGCAGACAGATGCAGACCACCGAACAGGCGCTTGAACGGACAGTGGCGTCAGACAAAGCCGTCAGAGCCAGCGGCCGCGCGGTCCAGAACCGACCCAGCTCCCTCCCTGAGTTAAAGAGTTCAGAGTAGTTCAGGTGGGGAGCTGCTTCAGCACGCGTAGGCTGCAAAGGAACAAGTAATAGGTGTATTCCCTGCTGAAAAAAGAAGAAAGAAAACACAACGTTTCGGCCGTGGAGCCTTCTTCAGGTGTCAACCTTCACCACACCTGAAGAAGGCTCCACGGCCGAAACACTGTGTCTTCTTTCTTTTTTTTTTCAGCAGGGAATAAATCTATTACTTGTTCCTTTAAAGGTTTAAAGACAGCAGACCAAGAAACCAGAGTCAGACCCAGAAAAAGACTTACCTGCCGCTGCCGCGCAGTGAGCTGAGAGCACATTCGGCAAGGCCTTTCTACGGCTGAGACAGGAACCGCGTAAATACAATGTTGAGGCCAGGCCGTGTTGAAACACGCGGCAGATGTGTCTATCCGATTTCAAAACACAGGCGGGCCCGGACAGGCCCGGCGCGTCCAGCTCATCGGGAAGAACATCAACTTCCCACCCGCACAACCGGAGGAAGAGGAAGATTATCCGAGAGAGACCTGCTGTGCCTGTCAGCCTGTGCTGTTTGGCCTCTAAATAAGTTTGGAAGCAAAGAAATAAAACATAATTTAACAACCATCTGAGGCCAACTTAAAGAAACTAGGCCAAGTAATATTAACAGGTTGTGGGGGTTTGGACTCGTAACCTCCATGTAAAACAGGACCGGACCTGAACCACTGGACCAGCTGTCCTCCAGGTGTAACAGGACTGGACCTGAACCACCGAACCAGCTGTCCTCCTGGTCTAACAGGACTGGACCTGAACCACCGGACCAGCTGTGCTCCTGGTCTAACAGGACTGGACCTGAACCACCGAACCAGCTGTCCTCCTGGTCTAACAGGACTGGACCTGAACCACCGGACCAGCTGTCCTCCCGGTGTAACAGGACTGGACCTGAACCCTTGGGAATTGATATCCAGATTGCATGAGCATCTATGTTAGACCCTGCTTCACACCCACAAGGCCCAGCTGTCTGGGGCAGTTGGGCCTGGGCCTCCTGTGTCTGCTGCTGGTGTTGTACCACACCCACATCCTGACTGTCAAAGCACCCTGGGGAGCAGAGCAGTGTCAGCACCACTCTTATCTTGAATCATCTTCTCTGATCTTCAAAGAGACTCTTCTACAGTGGTTATTTGCCTACAGACCTGCTAGGACTTTGGCGGGCTTGCCTGACATTCCGGCCTCCACCCTCTGAGCTCTACAGGAGAGGCCAGGGTGGTCTGAGCTACAGCAGGCCGACGCTGCTTCAAATGCAGCTACTAGGAGAACCCCAAACCCCCCCCGGGGAAACAAACGGGGGTGGAAAGAGGGTCCGACCACAGGCCTAGGGTCACGAGTTCATGACCGACTGTGACCCCAAGTTACCTCCCAGAGGAGCCCCCCTGCCCTGCGGTCAGAAGTCTCTGCCAGGAGCCGGGACATCACAAAACACCAGCTGGGGCAAGTGTGAGCTGAGAAACACCAGAACAACACACGATGATACAAAACACCTTACGCCAAGCTCTTAGAGTCAAACCTCTGTGACCCGATTCTTCAGTGCATCAAAGCACATTCGATCACAGGAACCAAACACCTCATCTCTGCGATCGATTCTCACCTGACCAGTTGTCTTTCAGCAGCTGGTCAGGTGGCCGAGGGCAGCAGCTCATTCCCCCCAAAGCTTCCTGGGAAATGTAGTCCAGACAGGGGCTGCCCTCTTAAACTACACAATGAAAACATGTGGAAAATCAGACTTCACGCTTCGCCGCCCACTTCCTGCTATACCGCATCTCATTCACAAAACACGGTGCTTCACATCCTAGCTAGTTTCTTAAAGGATTCAGGGGAAATATCCAGGAGATTTAATCTCAAACTGTAACTCATCCCATCCACTGCAAGACAACACCTCAGTCTTCAGCACAACCAGCTGCTGGGGCTTCTGAACTGGACATCAACAGGTTCAGAGGACAGGGCCGACAGGGCAGAGGAAAGGGAGGAGAGACACTGGGCATCTCATCACAGATACATGAAGAGTGTTGCTGTGCACAGTGGAATTTCAGCATTTATAAAATGCTGAATTTTCAGCCTGGAACCCAGTACCCCGTGAAAGTGGGCCGGGCTCTCATCACGCATGTGACAGTACAACACCAGTCCAGCAGTCCGTCCCAATGAACACGAGCCCCCAGTGCCCCGGCTGAAGACGAGCTTGGGCCTGCAGGACTGGGAGTCCGCACAGCCCTGACCCAGTTCTACAGGACAGGCCCGCCGGGCTCCATGACTGGGGATCTGTTCCATTATTTCAGACAGCCTTCAAGGACCACAGTTTCATCAACTGGGCACATTCATTCACTGACCACTAACTTAGTCTCAGTCTTTAGAAATGGAGGATTTAGGGCCACTAAAAAACCCCAATACTGGACTAGAGCTGCCGTTGTCCAAGCGTATCAACACAAACTCGCTCATATTTTTAAAGAATAGAGAGCCCAGGGCGAAAAGGACATGTTCTCTTTTTATAGGTGCGGAAGTTGAACGAGCTTTTGAGCACCGAGGCGCACATAAATGAGAGACTCGCAGAACCAGATTCGAGCGTAGATCGCAGAGTCGGAATGTATTATTTTTTTAGCTACAAAACCTCCTGGAAGCTGACTGTGTCACGGGTGCCCTGTGTAGTCCATCACCCGGGCCGCCGTGTCAGTACCTGTCTGACGAGCCCGGAGCGGACTCTGTTAATCATTGCAAACGATCTACACCGGGAAACTACTCCAGCTCGCTGTTTCTCCACTCCAGAGACCCTCCGATTCGGCATTCACAAAAAAATCACCACTGATTCATCTTGGTAATTATGATAATCATTCATCATGCTGTTACGCAACTTTTTCCTCTAGAAAAGAAATATCCTCCCACACGACTGAACAGCGTGTGAGGGAGACGCTGCGTATACTGGCCACATTTAGACCTCCTCCGTCAGTTTCTGCAGGTTACCGATGTGGGGAACGCGAATATTGTCAAACCAAGTTAACGCTTGACATCACGGGGAGTTTAAAGAAATACCTTTACAGCGCTCGAGTCACGCACAGCCTCGGGTGTTTTGAGTTTCGCGGGTCAAGTCAGGAAGGTCATTCTAAACACTTATTTAATACGGCGACATTCAGGTCACAGTTTAATGGAGGTCTAAATTTCGATTTCTGAATGGCTGATCTCTGAGGACCAGGTGATATTTGCTCTACCTGCCCTCCACTCGTGATAATAACCTCACTCCCCTGAAGCACCAGCGCTGAGTGACGGGGAACCTGGTCACTTTCAGGGGGTCCCCCCTGCTCGGACCTCATCTTTACCCGCGTCTTTGTTCACAAACCGAACGACACGCCTCTTTTATAAAAACAGAAAAGTTAGAAGTTAGAAACAAACTCAAACGAGTAAACCAAAAACAAACTTACTTCCGATTGAAACCGCACGGCGGAACTCATTCTGGCCGCTCGGGGAGGGTGGCTCTCGGTCGAGTCGCTTCTGCAGTCTTTCCGCAATTCAGCGCTGCACCCCGAAACTTGTCTCCCCAAAACCTCCTGCTCGGGGACCGGGGGAAGTCAGGCGCAGCTGGAAGGATAAGTAGTGAGTCGCAAACGTGTGCGCAGACAGACGCTCACGCCCCCCGAGGAGCGCGGACGGGGGGACGCTCTTCGTGTCAGGTGGGGTGGTGCAGGTGTGGAGCTCAGCGCTGCCGATGCGGGACGGGTGCGGTCGCGAGGAGCTCTGGGTGACGAGTCCGGGCTCCGGTGTGCGCAAGCCGTACCTGCCGCGCAGGCGTGTGAGGTCATCGCGCTGGCACTCGCCCTCACGCGCGCCCCACCCGGGACTCTCCTGTGACGTATTAACCCCCTCCCCCCCCGCCACGCTCACAGCCTCCTAGAAAAAGGCCGACAGCGCGGTCAGCTCCTTGGGGCAGCTAACTCTGACCAGGCTGGGTGGCCCGATTGGCTCCTCTTGTTTGTAACCTTTCTTATGTTCTTATGTTAATAATAATTATAATAATAATTGCTTAGGCTTATATAGCGTCTTTCTGGACACTCCACTCAAAGCGCTTTACAGGTAATGGGGATCCCCTCCACCACCACCAGTGTGCAGCCCCACCTGGATGATGCTCCGGCAGTGATAGTGCACCAGTCCGCTCTCCACACACCAGCTCTCAGTGGGGAGGAGAGCAGAGTGATGGAGCCAGTTAAGAGAGGGGGGTTATTAGGAGGCCATGATGGGTAAGGCACCAGGGGGAAATTTGGACAGGACGCCGGGGTAACACCCCTACTCTTCTCGAGAAACGCCCTGAGGTTTTTAATGTCCACGGAGAGTCAGGACCTCGGTTTTAGGTCTCATCCGAAGGACGGCGCCTGTCTACAGTGTAACTATACTGGGGCATTAGGACCCACACAGACCGCAGGATGAGCGCCCCCTGCTGGCCCCACTAACACCTCTCCCAGTTCTTATATCTTTATTAGTGCTGTGTGTCGCACAGTGTGGGGATTGTCGACGCTGGGATCCGCTGTACTGTTTGAAATGGTGTCACTCTTCGCGAGGGGTCGATGTCTGTGTGCTGTGTGGTGTAGAGCACAATGCAGCTCTCTCTCTGACTAAGGCGGAAGCTGGTGATGTGAACCACCGAACAAAGGGACTTGTGGGCTCCTTCACGCCGACACGCGTCCCACCCCGTAGACGCCGAATCGGGCTGCGCTGCCGTCACGATGTATGAAATCGGGGGTCACGGGCGTGTCGTCGTGTAGTAGCATCGCCCCCCAAATTCCCAGGCATCTCGCGCGGCCGTCCTCGCGCCTGCTGGGGTTTTATCCAGGTCGCCGGCACGTTTTAAGGGACAGTTTACCTTCTCAGGTGATCATGAATTATCTCACGTCTGTCTGCGTGCAACACTCACTGTTACAGAGAGGACGTCGGCTGCAGTTGAGGTCTGCAGTTCACAAACTAACGATGAGTCACACGCTGCAGAAATACATGACAAAAATAAACAAAAAGAATTATAATCTATATAAATAATAACAGACTGTCGAAAGTGACTAAACCTAATTTAGGACGACCACCTGCCGACGGAGCTGTGGCTGAGGACTGTGTAATCAGTCCGGTGAAACCGCCCTACCAGCGCTGAGCAGATAAACGGCTCCAGCGCAGGAAAGAAATTAAAGAAGAAAAAAGGGATGAAGGATTTTCTAACAGATCGGTCACAGCGGGTTCTTATAAGAAATACATTTTCAACCGAACTCGTTTTAAATACTGGTGTTCTGTCGCTTGCAGGGAACCTGGTTACTGGGGCCGCTGGAGAATCGCTCGGGGCAGATCAGTGAACTGGAAGGGGGTGCGACTCGAACGTGGACCCCCACAGCTGGCTGCTAGCCGTTCAGCCCCTCTCCCTTATTGGTCAGTGCCTGTGGGAGGTTGTTCAGGGTTTCAAACACCTTGGACAGTTACACATGAACTTTTGAACTTTGCAGACAGCACCAGTTGGAAGTAAGTCAAAACACATCAAAAAACTGCCACACAAGTCAGATAAAAGTCAAGACTGCTTGCACACAGACGCTATCTAAATGCTGCTACCATCTTCTTTGACTTCTCGTCTTCTTTGTCTCCAAATAACTGTGATGCCATTTTCTCTGTCATCTGTCGTGTCATTTTGTCCTGTGAGGAACACGCAAGCGAGCTTTTCATTGGACTCAGGTACACAGGACAACAAACCTGGTCTTGAACCCTTGCATTTTTAAGAAGGCTAGTCAGCGCATATATTGATCAGGAAGCTGAAGGGGTCTGGGGTGAGGCACAA